GCTCTGGCGTGCGGTGTTCTGGAACCAGCACAGGCTTTGTCACTAGACATACCGACAAGTACATGCTGGCTTTGCACACATACTGTGTGACTGCGACATGCTCCTTATGCCCCTTGTAAAACGGGGCCACTAGTAACCACCTCATAGTATTGTTTTGAAGTAGATATAATGAGAGGTGCTCAATAAAAATTATTCTTTTCATACCTCAAGTCTCACCCTTTCCCCTAATAGATCTAGGATTCGTCCTGTTTCTCAGGATATCTCCATGTAGAAATGCTCTTATTGTCTGAGTGTTGGATTTTGATAATGAATACAGGTGTATAATTTATATTCAGCATTCCTGGCATCTTATCAGGTCACAAATTCCAAGGGTCAACAAGTTTAGATTCCTCTGGACAATGAGAAAGACCACTGATGGGCAAGGAAAACACCTGGGAAGAAGCTCATTGCTTTCACCACACAGGGGAGAAACAGAGCGTTTCTTAAGTAGTTACAACTGTTAACTTGGAATGGTGTATAGAAGCAAGGGTGGTGCCTGTAGTTCCCCTGGAATCCTGCAGTTTTCCTAGGTCAGGAGACAAGTGATTAATCATGAGAGTAGAGGAAAGAGGAAAGTTGAAGCTGATAAAAAAGAAGTTGGAGACAGCCCTAGCCGGTTTGAATCAGTGGATAGAGCATCAGCCCATGGACTGAAGGTTCCTGGGTTCGATTCTGGTCAAGCGCATGTACCTCAGTTGCAGGCTCAATCCCTGGCCCTGGTCAGGGAGCGGGTGGGAGGCAACCAATTGATGTGTACGTTTCTCTCTCTCCTCTCTCCTATCCTCTCTAAAAAAATCAATGGAAAAATATCCTCAGGTAAGGATAACAAACACACAAAAAGTTGGAGACAAAGAACCATAGAATCAGAACTTGAAAAATACAATATTCTAGAGCCATTCATTTCAGGAGCATATAGACCTACACATTTAATAGCCCCCAAGGCATGACTCTTGTCATAGGTGGCTTAAATTGTTTGTTGAATTTAACAAAACAATAGTGCTCATGTGTTTCTTAAACATGAAGAAAAAGTTAAATTATATTGAGGAACTCTATTTAGGAATCTGGGGAACTTATTTTATCATTTTAGAAAGATTTTAATCAATAGTCTCTAAAATAAAAATGTTTTCATTTAAGATAAACTTCTAGAAGATTCATAAGAGAATCTTTTATTATCTAAAGTAGGGTAACAGGCATGATTTTTGCATAAAACAGTGCAGAGCATATGGTAATAATCGAATAAATATTTTAAAAATAGAATTCAGTATTTACAGGACAAACCAGACTCTGAGCCTAACTCATGAACTCTGGAAGATTCTCTTGCAGCCTTTCAAAATGCAATTAATTATTTGACTATTGGAGGACACTGATAATATATTCACTACCTATATTTTTCTGTGAATTGTTGACAATCATGACAAGTCCACATTTAGTTACTTATCCGACTGAGTAAGTAATTGACCTGAATGCATAGGAAATTGAGATGTAAAACCACTTCTTTAAAAGTGAAATAAAAGGTTATACTCTTTTTTTAAACATATAATAGTGACATGTTTCCTTCCAGCTTATCTCCTATTTTAGGCCCTCAAGATTGGAAAACTACCAAGTGGTGATAAATACTGTAAAGAATCTACAGTCCATCCATAGTCTTCTATATTATTAATAGGATTGCTCAGACAGCTTATCTGCTTAAGTTTTGGAAATCTCCTTATCCTTTATCTGTAGGAACACTAATCACTTGAAAAGGACAAGGCTGAGGAAACGTGTTTTAAAGCTGGATTTAAAATATATATACATATGTGTGTGTGTGTGTATTTTCATCAAATTCTATTGCTCTAGTTTCCTAGATTCTTTGTGCCTTTTATTTCAACTATTTCCCTTCCAGGTATTTTAAATGGCACTTTGCATTCATTTGAACATAGGTGAGTTGCTTGCATTTTCTGGTGAGATAAGCATATCTGAAGGCTTTTTCTATTCACTTGTTGGCTGTATTTCTCCAGGACCGGGGAACAGAGAACTAACTGGTATGGGAATTGGGAAGCTTTGGCTTTGGGTTTCCCTCTGTGATTTGTAAGAGTCCTTTGGTTACTAGGCTCACAAATGATTGGCAACTTCAATCAAAGGAAATTTATTGGAAGGATACAAAGGCCCACAGAATGGGTAGAGGGCTGAAAATCAGGTTTGAACGTGGGAAAGTGCCAAGGCCTTTCCAGAGGCTGGGAACCAGGAACCCAAGCAACAAACTTTCAGGGGAACTGAAAAAGGTGAGATCATTGCTAGGATGAAATGAAACATCAGATTTCAGGGAAGTTGACCTAGCCTGGATGGCAAGCCCACCGTTGCTATAGAGATGAGGGACCTCCAGTTACAGCCCACTGTAATTCCTTAACTGGAAATCAGAAGGCAGTTTGAAGACAGAAATTGCATACCAGGCAATTAACTTTGTCCAGTACTGTGTTATGTGGCATCTTTAAAGTTGCTTCCAGCTTTAAAAATGGCCAGTGCTTCTCCCATGAAAGCCTTTGGAGTTACCACGTCCCCCTGATGTCTACATCTATGAATGCCTATGAAAGCAATGAACAATAATAAGACAAACTGGAAGAAGACAGTTATGAGCACCAGTGTGTTGTGTTAGTTCTCTATTGCTGCATAACAGCATTACCACAAACTTAGCATCTTAAAGCAGCACACATTTATTAAATCACAGTTCCCATGCATCAAGAGTCCGGGGACAGCTTAGCTGGGTTCTCTGCTTAGGATCTCATCAGGCTGCAATGAAGGTGTAAGTTAGGGTTGTGGTCTCATCTGAGGCCCGACTGGAGAAAGAACCACTGGCAAGCTCACTCAGGCTGCTGGCAAAATTCATTTCCTTGTAGCTCTAGGTAGGACTGAGGATTTCAGTTTTTTTCTGGTTGTTGGCTGCAGGCTGCCCTCAGCTCAGAGGCTGCATACAGTTCCTTGCTATGTTGGGTTCCACAACATGGCTACTTGGATTCCTCAAAGCCAGCAAGGGAGAGACTCCAGCAATACAGGCACTACAATCTTATGGAAGCACATAATTGTGTGCATGTAATCGTGCCATCCCATCACCTTTACCGTGTCTTTTGGTTAGAAGGGATTCATAGGTCCCACATAGGTCCCACATATACTGTAGGGGAGAGGGTTGCACAGCGACATGAATACCAGGAGGTGGGTATTGGAGCAAACCCATGAATCTGTCAGAGTGGCAGAACTGAGTGGGATAATCCCCAGAGCTGCTGTGGAGTCTAACATACCTCTTTCTGTGCATCTGGTTTCCCTAAATGTCAATCCTGGGGAGGTATTTCATGTGGAAAACTGATGAGGGGGGCAAACAACACCCAGGCCTCCAATCGCTCCAGCTCAGCTATAGGGGAGGGGAGGGATGTAAACAGCTTCTAGCTGGTGTTTCCCTCAAAGTTGTCTGGGCACAGTTGAATCTCATAGCCTCCACTGAACTATATCTTTTGTCTGTATTTACCATTTGGTAATTTTTTTTGTTTTTATTGCATGAAAATTCTTTCATTTATTCACACGTATATATTGTCTCCCTCAACTATACAGGGGTGGGCAAAAATAGGTTTACAGTTGTGAGTACACGAAAGTTTATTTTTATTTTTTCAATAAATCTTTATTGTTCAGATTATTACAGATGTTCCTCTTTTTTCCCCCCATAGCTCCCCTCCACTCAGTTCCCACCCCATCCCATGCCCTTACCCCCCGCCACTGTCCTCATCCATAGGTATAAGATTTTTGTCCAATCTCTTCCCGCACCCCTCACAGCCCCTGAAAGTTTATTCTTATATTATTGTTATGACAACTGTAAACCTACTTTTGCCTACCCCTTGCATTTTATAAACACACACCTAAAGGCAGGAGCCATTTCTTCTATCAGGAACCATTCACATGTCCTTCAAGTAGTGTAAAAGGCAGAGGCACTTTGGAATAGCTCATATTGGTTATCTAGTTGTATGAAGGAAGAGGGGATAATGTGAAAATCTCTCCCCTTTTAGCTGTATTTGGTTATGTAAAAAAATATATATACATATATATTATACATATAATATATATATATTTGAAAGGGGTGACCTTACAAATGCTCAGATTATCCTGATACAATGCGTTTGGTTTCTACCAGAGTTGCTAGGCTTGCATATGGAGGCAGGCGGGTAATGGATAAAGAGGGCCATAGACATGGTTGAGTGTGACTCTGGACTTATTGCTTTAATTTCTGAGAGCCTCAGTGACCTCACAGTCCTAGCTCATAGAGGGAGTAGTTTTAAAAAATAAATAGCACAGTGCCCAGCATACAGTAAACATGTGGGAAATAGGTATGATGATCCTTAAGACCTGACCTGGGAGGGCACATGTCAATTCTCAAGGTGCAGTTTGTCCCATAACAAAGGAAGGGCAAGGAGATGCACACTCAGCACATTGTAACTCATGTTTTCTCTCGGAGCTCAAGGGATTTAGTGAAGAGCTTTGAGTGTGGAGGAAATCAGAAACTGCTGCTTTCCACTTCCTGGAGCTGGGTCATTTGGAAAGTGTGGTAAGAGGACTGTATTGCAGCCCCTCCTCTGTAGACAGCAGGCCTGGAGTAGATGCTGGTGGTGCCAGGGCAGGGTAGCAAGCACTCCAGATCCCCCTTTCATTTCTAACCTCCTCGGGTAGGAAGGAAAGCACATGAGACTTAGCTTGATGACCTTGACCAAGCAACAGCATCTCCGAAGCCATTTTCACTTCTGTAAAAATGGAGCCAATGGAAGATCAAACGAGAGGCAAAATGTAGGAACATTTGGTAAACTTTGCATTTCTAAGGGAACCCAGGAGGAATGATGCTCCACACCAAGAATTTGCCCTTGAGGTCAGTTAGATAAATTTTCATTTTCTTCCCATAGTGCCCTAATTGGTCAAATGAAAATGCTAAATACATTTCAGAAAAGTTTTAATTTCAACAATTTATGATTAAAAATACATTTATAAATAATTTTTCCATAGACTTGATTGAGGATTGTTGCAGACTTTACAAAAAGACAGACTGCAACAAAAACAGATTAAAGTTACAAAAAATATAGCTATAGTTCTATTTAAAAATACATTATACATCACAGCTTTTTCTTTGTGCAAAGTTTAAGAGAATGCTGTGTTAGGCATGTCACATATTCACTCAAAGGGAAGTAAACTTTAATACAGTTACTTTGCATAATGGTATAGGCACAGGTGAAATAATTCATTCTTTTCCCCTAGAAGTTAATATACCTTAGTTCAACATTTTACTTTTATTTTTTAGGATTAATGATGAATTTAGCTTAATACAAATATATATATATATATATATGTATATATATATATATATATGAATGAAACTAAGTGTTTTTTTGAAATTAAGTAAACCCCCAACGTATTTACAGTATTTTCAGGGAATGTGTTCTCCAAACCAGTCTGAGTACATTTTCTCTATTAAACAACTCTTTAGAAAATTAAATGAAGCCAAATTTGTCAATTAATGGACATCCTCCGTTGACACTTCCAGTTTTCGCTGTGGGACAAGGAGAGTTCCTATGGAGGTTTTATTAGCACCATCAAAATCCATGCAGGGTGAGCCCGTTGATTTCACTGGTCCACCTGGGGTACGGAAGAAACTTTCAGCCACTAATTGTGACCCTTTGGGTGTTACTGGAACAGGCTGATTGGAAAGAGAGGAATGGAAAAAAGAAGTCAAACCCACACCACAGACAGGTATGCTCTAACTCTAGGAGCCTTATGAGACTGGACTAGAAGGCCATGTCACACGTGGGAGCCCAGCATACTTTGAAATCGGCAAGGTAAGCCTGGATGAGTTTTCCATTCTCAGCTATTTTTGTTAAGGCAAGAAAAAAAGCTCACAGTAACGCAATAATATGCATTATTTGCACACTTTTTCCAGGCTTGGAGAGCAGGCAGGCCTTCAGCCTCCTCACTCCCCCATCCTTTCCCTCTCCAAAGAAGAAAAGCAAAAGCAAGTCTGACATTTGGGACTTAATAACCCCAGGGAAAAAATAAGTTAAAGGGAAATACTCTCACCTGCTGTGTCCCCATCATAGCAAGGGACTGTCCATTCGGTTGGTTCTGGCCCAGGCCTGGCGAGTTATATCGGGTGGCCCTTCCTTGCTGAGTGCCTGCATGTTCTGGTACGACACTAACAGCCTCTATTCTTGGGGACATGGGAAGAGTTGCGGGCCCGGAGCTGGCAGACACCTGCACACTGGGGGAGATGAGCCCCAAGTGCTGCAGGGTGAAGTTTACAATGGCTGAGCTTGGGTTCTGGACAGGAATGGGGTGGCTCGAACTGAGAGCCGGGCTGTTCCCTACAGGTATGGCTGCCACGGAAGTTGGTGAGACCATTAGCTTCAAAGGTGTTACATGAAAAGAGGGAAAATTAACAGCAGTGAGTTCAGATGATGTCACTGGAATAACACCTGGGAAGAAAAGGAGGGGAAATATCTTAAAAGCACAGGCATTTGTCCAAGAAGTTTACAAGGCTTAAGTGAACTTGAGACTGACCCATCTATAAAACCCTAATATGCAAATAGACTTAAGGGTGGAACAACCGAACCGGTTGCTATGACATGCGCTGACCACCAAGGGAGGCACACGCAGAACATGGTGGGCATTAGCTGCAGCAGGATGGTGGAGCAGGTGAGCGGGGGTGCCAGACCAAGGTGGGACATTTGTCGCTGTCATCGGGGTGAGCCTCTGGTGGTTATTGAAAATTCTTTGCTCCCACGTGCCGCGGTCTCGCCCGGTGCTTGCACCCGCTGCCGGCCCCGATCGCCCCTGAGGGCTTCTCCACCACTCCCTGCTCCTGAGGGGTGATTGGGGCAGCAGCCACCCCTTGCTTCCACTGATGGTGCCAGCCCTGCTCACACCCACTGCTGGCACCAGCCCCAATTGCTCTGTGCTGCCAGAGGGTGCGGTGCCATCAACACGTGAGAGCAGCAGAGGCAGGAGTGGGGCTGCCAGCAGACAAGGGACGGGGGGCCACAACGGGAGGGGCCGGGCGGGGGTGTGGGAAATGGGCCAAGGCCCGTCCCTGTGCCCACTACAGCCTTGTGGCCCATAGTTCCTTTCAAGGTGCATGAATTCGTGCACTGGGACCCTCATGTTTGAATAAATGCTTGATGTACACTCACCTGCGATCGGGGAGCTGTAGATCCTGTGGTTTGGGGAAAGTGTACCTGAGTTTTCTTTACTAGACAAAAGGGACTCTGCCCCCAGGGATGAGCACTGGGTGAGAGGGATTAGATATCCTGATGGGAACAGTGTCTAGAAAACAAAGAGGAAGGGTTTATTTTAAACACAAATACTGGAAGAAAAATGGCCCTGTGCCTCTTCCAGGACTAATATACCTTGGTGGTTGTCTCATTAGACTGATGTTAACAGTAGGGCTACAGGCAGGACAGCTATACAGCTCCCTGAAGACAATATCCCTCCCTTCCATTCCAACACTTGGCCTGAGTCATACAAACCATGGATATTTTTTTCCACTGATTTTAAAGACTGGAAGGGAGGCAGGGGAAGGAGAGAGAGAGAGAGAGAAACATCGTTGTGAGAGAGACATATTGATTGGTTGCCTCCTGCATGAGCCTTAACAAGGGCTGGGGATCAAACCTGCAACCCAGGTATAGGTCCTTGACCAGGAATCGAACCCGTGACCCTTCAGTGTGCAGGCTGGTGATCTAACCATTGAGCCCACCAGCCAGGGCACAAACCATGTGTTTCTTCAATGCCCTCTGTGGCCTTAAGTGTCATAACGCTACCATTGAGTCTGCTTAGAGTAGGATTCACCCAGCAGATTCCCTTCACACTGACATTCTAATTCCTGCTCTGACTCCTTGGTATGATGTGGTGCTAACTGTGGTAACCACGTTAATGCAGTTAGACACCATAGTGGCACTGTTATGTTATTATGGATTGTTCTTGAATTACATAGAATGGTATTTTCCAAAGAGTATTCTGAGGTACTCTAGTTTCAGGGGATGCAAGCAGGCACTGCTTGAATCATGCTCACATATGTTTGGGAACTGCTGAATTCAACAAAGGAAAATGGTGTTTTAATTAGAGAATTTCTTTAATAGTGCATGCATTGTAAATCTCCAAGGGGGGGCCTCCAGCCTGTAGCATTTCCCAGGCTATCTGGCAACTAAATTTTTGGTAGAATTGGAAGTCAGAGAAAACACATTTTAAGAAATGTTGACTTAGAGAAGGGGGTTGCCAAATCATGGGCCAAAAGCCAGCCTCCTGTCTGTTTTTATAAGTAAAATTGCATCGGAACACAGCCATGCCCATTCATTTATGCATTGTCTGTAGCTGCTTTCCTATTTTCTTTTTACCATGGCAGAGTGGAATAGGTACAACGGAGACATATGGTCTACAAAGTCAAAAATATTTACTATCTTGTCCTTTACAGAATGATGTTTACTGACCTCTGAACAAAGGAATTATACATCTACAGATTTGTTTCTAATACTTTAGGTTCTAATGATTATCAAGAAAACATGCTTATACTATTACAAACTAAAGAGCATGGCACTAGAATTCAAAAACTAAGGTAAAAAAGAACGGATTAATTCACCTGAGAGACTCAACTGTCATGCAGCAAAAGCTTTAGGCAATAACATTACAGACCAATGGAAATGGCCAAAGTGTTAGGCTGTGTGCATCCTCCCCGTGCCTGCTAGATCACTGTACCTGAGCAAACAGAGAAAGCCCAAGAAGCCTGCTTCGGTCTTACCCTGAGCAGGACTGGCAATAGCTAAAAGCAGCTCTTGTAAATGGGTGTGTGTGTGTGTGTGTGTGTCCTTTTATCTTCCTCCAGATCTTCCTTCTGGACATTGTTAAAACAACAGTCTACACTTTGATCTAGCTGTTAATAGGTCCTGTCTTTTCCTTGGGAACCAGTCAGTTCAGAATCCACAATGCTAAAAGTGGACCACAAACTTTAAAATTTAGTTTCTTAGCTGCTTGGCACTGTTCATTCTCTTTACTGGTAGGTTCCTTGAAAGGGATAGAAATTTTTAACCAGTGAAAATAGGGATTTTACAAATCCTCTTTGCTATTTTGCTATTGTTAATCATGCTTTCGTGGTACAAGTTGCTGGTTTAATTCTTTCAAGTCTTTAGCAAAACCTGTAGTACTCCATTAATAGTTATTTTTCAGTTTTCTGCAAACTACATTCATCATAACATCTTTTAGCCTACCATGCCAATTCCCTTTTTGAAAAAAAAAAGAATTATTAAGTGAGCAGGATGAATGAATTTGACATATTTCAACTTGCATGTTATGATCTCATCTAGCTTACATTAGCCCTCTTACCCCCTCTTCCTATTACACATTCTATTTTATTTTCACTGTAGTTCTTATTATTTACTGATATGTTTGTGTTATTTGTATACTGTCTTCTCTCCACCCTCAGAAGTGTAGAATCTTAGTAAATGTTTGCTGAATGAATTAACACACAAATTAATACATTTTCTTTGTTCTGCTCAGTTCATGCTAAAAAGAAATGGTCAAAATGAAGTCACAGAGATGAAAAAAGAAGCAGGGGGACATGGAAAATCTATCCACTGAAAACCCTAATCCTGAATAACTGAGCAACAGGAGACCATTATTAAATTACCCCATTGGCCCGAAGAGATTATGGACATCCCCAAAAAATTCATTCAGGCACAAGCCTTGTTTTTTCTCCCTCGCATGGATATTAAATACAAAATGATACTATACTAAGAGATTTTGAACAGTTACCATGAGGCCATCCTAAGGGAAGACTTGACAAACTCTAAAGCCTCCTTAATAAGTTACAGATAATACCCTTCATCTTGTAAGAATCACATCCCTTTACATATATCATCATGTAATAAATTCACCTAGCCTCACAAAAACTGTGATAGAGCCCTGGGCAAGTACTCAAAAGTAACCATCACCAAAAGAAGGTGCTGGGTTTGGTTTGGTTTGGACCACAGCACAGTGTTTTATACCCAGTAAATGATCGGGAAAAACTGGTGGAACAAATTCGTTATAGATGTGGGAAAACAAGATGTAGAGAAATAAAATAACGCGAGTTAGCAGCAGGGACAGAATGAGAGATTAACTTCTGCTTCCACATTGAGTGGTGCTCATTCTGTGATCATGTCTTTCACATATAATTGTCCTAAGGGAGGAAAATGAGATTATGTATGTAAAAGTGCCTAATCTTTCTGACATCCAATAAATGTTAATTCCTTCTTGAACTAAACTCCACCTAGGGAAAAAATGATCTGGAACATCACAATCCCTAGAAACCAGTGTGTCAAATATACTTACAAGTTAAGATTTTTCTACTTGCACAAAATAGAAATTTTGGTTTACATTTTAGAAAGTAAAAACGGGAACAATTTATCTTCTAGGCAACAGGTGCCAGTTACATGACATCAAACAAACATTAGGCACCGACTCAGAAAGTAGGAGTCACTGGAACCCCACGTATCCATCCATTCATTGGGGGTTACATCTGCTTATAAATTATTTAAGACTCTCATGACAGGTGTTTGCATTCCAGTGTGTGGTGGAGAAATGGACTTAAGGACAACCACCCGTGGTGCTTTAAAAAGACAGCAAATAATCCCTTCCTCCAAAGGCTAAAAATGTCCCTGCCATCGTCCCAGCCAGGGGATTAGCTGTCTGGGGCTTTGTTTGCATTACGGATGCTAAGGAACAGTTCCTTGTCTTCTGAGAGACTGCTCTTTGCTCTGGCAGATTTCACAAGCCACCAAATTCTCCTCTAATCAATTGGGAAGTCCCTAATACTTTGCACATTGCAAGGGTGTACTTACTGCGGAGACATTTTCAAATCCTTTTAGGTTCTCTTTAAATTTCTTTTTGGAACCACTGTCTTCGAGCATGCTTGCCCTCTTTGAGCCTCTCTCTCCAGCAGGTTCTGTGTCTTGGTTCTGTGCACCATGCCTCTCCGGCATGGGCAACAGGCTTCCGGGTCTGATGGAGACATTGGGCTTGGTGGCATCATTGGCTGCTTTCTCAGTGGTGGCATCAGTGCAGTCTTTTGATCTCGTAGCTTCAGAAGAGGGGTTAGGGCAGACTGTCGGGCTCAGGCCTTGGGGCGGTGTCATGGTGTGGGTTTGGGCAGGCTGCAAGTAGATGGCATAGGACGGGCCCGAAGGGGCTTGAGGTAGGATCACGGGCACCGCCGATGATAATGGGCTGGGGAACAGAGGGACCACCCCCAGGGGCTGGATGAGGGGCGGTGCTGGGAGCTCCAGTTCAGCATTCACAGCGGAGTCCAGAGGGGCCACTGGTTTGCAGGGCCCAGATCTCACCAGCTGTGGTTTTGCTTTCTTTCTGGGTTCACTAAAAGACAAGATTTAAAACATGACATAAACACATTTTCTCTAAAATGTTCTACCACTTTAGATTGCCCCAGGTTGAAAGCCTTGCTTTTATGAAACCAGCAGATAGTTTCTGTAATATTTTGCTATGAGTTTCAGAAAAGACTGTCTCTCCAGTTTCCAAGGCTAGTGCCTTTTCTTACATAAAGTAAGTAATCCAATGGTGCAACTAAGTCATTCATCTCACCTACCTTGATTGTCAACCTACCTTGATTGCTCTTCTAACTGCATTTTGCAAATTGCTGCAAGCTGAGCCATTTTACTTGGAAAGGGTGCAGAATTCTGAGAACTCTCAGCTGGTAAAATAGAAAGAAGGGGGGTGGGTATTGGTCGAAGCGAAAGAATAAATGCTCACGCAGATGACAGGTCACTGAAGCCCAAGGAACACAAAAAATGCATCTCCCCCCCAAAGCACACAGCAGTTAAATGAAAAACCCTACAAACTACTTATCCTCTAATAATTAGAGTCTAATTCATGCATAAGTTAAGCTTCAAGGGGGGTTAAGCATATGGATATGGAAACAATTCTCCTACAAGTCCCATAGGGATCTAAAAAAAATCAGATAATAAGGAATTCTGAGCAGAGCCCTGACATGATTGAAAACACACCTTTGCTGGTCTTGATAGGGCTACTTGGAGCAGAATTGATCTTTCTCCGGTCACTTTCTATGCTCTTTACCAGTTTGATAAGAGATGGGTGCCGTGTAAAGTTTGGCTTCCTGTGTGTGGAAAAGAGGTTTTTGGCACAGTTCTCTTTTGAAGGCTGCCTCACTTCCACGTCTGAGGTGGAGAAAGAAATGACGGGGTTCACACCTGAAAGAGAAAAGGGCGGGGTGTTAAAACGTGGGTGACTCTTCCTCTTGGGATGTAAGGTCAAAGCGCAGGTCTAACATGATTTTAGGAATTAAGTGGCAGCAGTTGTAGATCACCAGTCACATGCCAGACACTGTTATGGGCTTTTATCTAAACAAAACCTTGTTTATCCTAATAAATAAATTCTGAGATAAGATTTCATACTTAGCATTTCAAAAACCCATTGTAACTTATAACCAGTGGTGTGCTATGGCATAATTATCAGGGTGTGTTTTTTTCTTATTGATATATAAAGAATTGTGCATCTTATAATCAGTGGTCTTTTATTTTTTTAATCCTCACCCCAGGATATGTTTTTCATTGATTCTAGAGAGGAAGGGAGAGGAAGAGAGAAACATTGATGGGTTGCCTCCCACATGCGCCCCAACTGGGGATTGAACCCACAACCTGGGTATGTGCCCTGACTGGGAATTGAACCCATGACCCTTTGGTGTATGAGAGGATGGCCCAAGCCACTGAGCAACATTGGCCAGAGCATCAGTGGAGTCTTAATCTGATGAAATACGGTGACCCTCACTGCTATGGACTGAATATGTGTGCTCCCCCATCCACCCAATTCATATGTCAAAACGTAATGCTCAATATAATATTAGGAAGCGGGGCCTGTGGGAGGTGCTAAGGTCATGAGGGCAGAGCCTTCTTGAACAGGATTAGAACTCACGGAGCTCCTCTTCCCTCATGTGAGCTTACAATGAAAACTTTGATTTTGGACTTCCAAAACTGTGAGAAACAAATTTCTGTGTTTATAAGCCACTCAGTCCATGGTATTCTGTTATAGCAGCCTGAACACACTAAGTAAGACACTCAACAACTCCACGAGGGAGGTACTTCTCAGGAAATGCATCCCCATTTCAGACCTTAACCAACTGAGGCATGGTCTCTCAGCTGGTGGAATGTGGGCCTGAGATACGAACTCCACCAGGGTGGCCCCAGAGCCTGCACTTCACATCCCTGCGCCAAAGGACCTCTCTCTGAGATTACATCCCACCTCACAGTAACCTCACAAAGGCGCCACGGTTCCCCCATTTTGCAGGTGAGGAAACGCAGCCTTGGAGGAGTAACGTGCCTAAGGCCACACAGCTAATAAGTGGCAGAGCTGATACTGGGCACTAAGTCTCCTTCTGCCTCCACAGCCCATGTTCTTGCCACTTTCTAACACTTCTGTGCGGGAGCTGTGGTGGAATACAGTGTCAGAATCCCAGAGTTGAAACGGAGCCTACGATACTGACCCTGGAACGAATTCATTTAATATTCTCCATGTGGACAGGCTCTGTCATGGTCACTGAGAAGCATAAGAACGAGAGCCATAGTATCTTATGTTTTGTGGTGCTTTCAACTTTTCCAAATCCTTTCCCATACAGATTCTACCTCCTGGGCCCGTGTGGGAGCGGGTTATAAACCTTGGGTTGATGATGGAGCTGGTAGCCAGACCTTCCTTATTGCCCTCATCTTCTCATTTATCCTGTATATGTTCTTCCCATATGGAGTGTGGGTAGGCAGGGGGAGGGAGAACAATCTCTAAATATGTGTTAATTCAAAACAATGAAGCAAGGAATTTAAGAAAACAGATACATACCACTGGGGTTAGGACTGATTTCTGGGCCTGTCCATTTAAAAGCTGGTTTTCGGCCTCTTTCTTCAGTGACATGAACTTTCTTGATGAGATCCAGGCTACTCAGAACATTAGCTATATCATACAACCTCCTAATTTTTGCTGGGGAGAAAAAAATTCATTTACACCACTTAATAAAATAATGAAAGATCAAAGGACTTTGCTTCTTAAGGATTTCATATATTCAAAGAGCCATTCGATCCTAACCGGCAGTGTCAGGCAGAGAAAATATGATTCTTTTAAAGTTAGCCTAGTGATACTGCTTTAGTTAAAACAAAAAAGTAGTTTTAAATATTGAAAAGACTAAGTGACTGCTGGTACTAAATTGTGAAATGACAGAAGCGTGTGTTGAAAAAGGAAAACTGACTGAATGAGATCACCCTGTCAGGAACATGTCACAGCTTTTTTGATAAAAAGTCACCATTACTGGGCCATCTTCTAATGAGGATTCAGAAGAATTTTATGAACAAAAGAAATAAAGCATTAATGATAAATGCATTGCTTCCCTGCTTGTGAGAGTTTATAACAATAGACTGATTTAATATCATAAGTGTGGAAAGTTCCATAGCTCATCAAAATTTGTAAATACTGTCCTTATGTAATACGCAAAGACTAGATTTATTAATTCTACAGATCTTATATATCTGAATGAGTTTTGTGAGAGATAGTCTGCTTTTACCTCCAGCTTGGTAGTACAAAATGATAATTGAGCCCCTTCTTCCTAGCCACGCCAGAGATTCTGAGTTCCCTGGGGAATTCAGCAAATTACACACCTGCAGTTCCTGGAATGGTTTCCAAGACTGTGACTAACCAGGGAAACGGAGAGCTGAAAACTGTCTGGCGACTTAGAAAAGCAGGCAGCTCATTTGTAGTATCAGGACGTGTTTTCTGAAATTGCAGATGTCCCAAGCCAATTGTCAGCATTATTGCCTTTCTCTCTACTTAGTTTTATCTTGATAGAGGCACTATCAACCCACGGATGTTGGAATATACTTTCACGAGACTAGTACAGCTCTTCAGGGATGGGAAGGGGTCTGTGTGACAGCCCCCAGGTGTTCCCATAGCCTCTGCTGTTGCTTGAGGTGGCTCTTCCTCACCATACAGCTGGATCCCCAAAGTGTCCCATGCTCAGGCTCATTCCCTACTTGGTGGTTTGCTAATGCCTCCAGGCGAGATGGGCGTGCAGCACACCCCTCCCTGTCTGGTAAGCACTTTTTTCCACACCCTTTCTGCCTTCATGGAGGTTCCTACAAAGTCTGTTATAGATGTGAGGGTAGAACTCTGTGCCAGGAGTCCAATCTATAATCCTATTCCAACTTTGAGCAAATATTCTGGCCAAAACCACTCTTTCAAACTGGCAAACTGACTGTGCAGCAGGTGACTTCTGGGGACAATTTTAGAAGAGTTATTTGTACTCTGACATATGAGAGACAGTGGAAATAGCAGAGACCTGAGTTCCAGTCCCACTTTAAATTTACTGCTCATTTAAACTTCAGGCAACCACAGATTGTATACTAGTAAAATGCCACAGTGCTACAGTAGCAAATGAGGTAACTTTTAAGAAACTATAAGTCAAAGTGTCAGACAAATAAGAGTAGTTATATGCATATCTTTTGGATCGTACACATTAAAGCAGGATGGCCATGGCTTCTGGGGAGAAGTGAAGATACAAAAGCATAATTAGAGAAGACCTGTTTATATAGCAAACATATTTGGAAATCAGTTTGTAACCGAGATTTTATTGTTTAAGAATAGGTCCAAAAGTCCATGGAGTCATGACACTTACTTTTAAACTTGCTTTTATCCAAATCTTCCACGTGGTCCTCCCCAATTAAAATCTTGGCAGCAGTTTCTAGGCTCACTATCTGAGGCGTTGACACCAGAAACAGCATCACAAACTTCTGGCTCATCACTCTTAAAGACTTGTCTTTGCGGCTGTTTACAGAGGCTTTGAAGAAGGATGAGGATTAGAGAATTAAAAGGCATAAAGGGACAAGTGACTTCTAAAAATACCACCACCTGACCAGACAGTTGACAACTGCAGCATTTTAACGTGAAAGGCAGCAGTAGCTTTAGAGCAGTTTCCTAAGGAACCTTCTCTTAAGACTTTTTGAATATCAGCTCTCACCTGCCCGAAATTCCACTCCAGGGAGTTCGACAAAACACATGTCTGTGTGTCCGTTTTGGTCCGTGTTTGCCTTGGTGACATGATCCTCTATATTGCAACTCTTACTGAAGTCAAACTCTTGTTCATATTCCTTCTTCTTGATCATCATGATCTGCTCGGCGTATTTGTTTTCCTCCCCGACGCTTTTCAAAGTCCCCAGGGTTTTGTTGAGATTATGCCGCCCGTGCCAAGTGTACCTGTTTTTGGCCAGGCGGCTCACCATGTGTAAACTCTCTAGGACATTCACGATATCGTAAATGCGTCGGCGCTCAACATCTACAAAGAATGAGCAGCTGTATGTTACGAGGATCAGATTTTGGAATGTGTACAGAATTGAATAACTTTTTTTCTTCCGTGGTTATTTGTCAGTAGGTTCTGGATGTTACAACTTATTTACACTCAACAAGGGTGAAGATGAGAAAGACATGGCCCTATCTCAAAGGATACAAATTAATTGACATGAATTAGCGGTGCCATTTATTGAGGGTCTATATGTGCCATACGGCTTTAAGAAATTTCTAGTCTAACCGAGTGAGGTAGGTAATATCCTGCACACTTGAATGAGGAGGAAATAGAGGCTCAGGCTGGCTAAGGGGCTCACCCCAGGGCACAAAGCCAGTAAGTGGCAAAATCAAATCTTTAATACTCCAAATCCCACACTTTACAACCTGTTTTTTTCTGTTACCCCCCCCCCCAACACACACACACACACACACACACACACACACACACACACGGTTGTCATGATAGGTATAAGGAGCTGAGATTTCTTACTGTTCCTGGAACCTGACAGATATGCCTGTGCCTGAAGGCCTTGGTGCTGGGCTATTCCTCTGCCTGGAATGCCTCTCCCAGATGTCCTCACGGTTCCCACCTCAGTTCTTTCAAGTCCTTGCTCAGATGTTACCTTGTCAAACTGAGGCCTGACCTGACCACTTACTTTAAAATCGCAAAGCACACCCCTAGCACTCCCGCTCAATCCTTTTATCGTGGTCCACGTTTTCTTATTTCCATAGCATGTATGACCTTCTAACTAACATACGTTATAATTTCTCATTATGTCCTTTGAATAGTGTCTATTGCTCCCACTAGAATGTTGATTCCATGGGAGCAGGCATTTTTCCTTTTTGTTCACTGATGTTATCACAAGTGGCTACAACACTGCCCAGCACATAGTAGGTGATCAATAGATGCCTGCTGAATTACAGAGTACATTCGACATAGCTACAGTGATGTAGGTAAATAGATGACTATCAATGGCATATTCTTAAAATGTGAAGTAAATTAACCTTTATAAACATGTATTAGAAGATCAAAACTTTACGGCGTAATAGCTATATATTAAAATATCCTGCATATCTCTTTAAAGTTTAAGATACTTTCATGATTGAAAAGGTGCTCCAAATTTGCCGTAGACCTCTTCTTAGCTATAACTAGATTTAGTCTTTAAAGAAAGGAGTAAAAGGGGGTAGAGGGACACAGTAATTTTGCCAAACGCTCAGAAAACGCATTGGTCCTCAGAATAGCGTTGAGCAGCAGGGAGCGCTAAAGCCCTGTTCCTCCCCACCCAACCTGCTGCTCATCATAAACTGTGCAGACACCATTCCACAGCCTGGCTTTTCAACCACAGAGCCAAGAGAGAAGTTCCAAGTTGTAGCTGCTTTGAAATAAGTCATAAAACAATGTTGCCTTCCTTTAAAGCTGCAGAGCTTTTGAAATGCAGTCCCAAGCCATCTCCATTGTGATTTTTTGCTTGTTTTAAGACTCACTGACATTGGAAACTGTATGCCTGTATTCCTGAATTAATAGGGCTTTAGAGATTCATAATTCTCTGTGGCCTTCTTTGTGTCACTACAAACACTGTCTAGATGAGCGTGGGTCTGAAGGGGTATGTCCACGAAGTCACTTTATTCACCATTTCAGTGAGCTGTTTGCATACTTACTAAGTTCCTCAGCTACTTCATCAAGACAGATGTCGTTATTCACAGCAGGGTTGGGATAGTTAGGATATCGTGCTAAGAACTTATGACACAATAATCCTAAACTTTTCTCTTTTCGACTTGGTTGGGATTTTTCACATTCGTCTCCTGATAAGTGTTCCTACAAAGGAAGAGGTAAATATGTCTCATTCTGAAATCAAGTTTGACAGATATATTAGGGGCATCTGCATTCTATGACTAACACTGGTACGAGTGCTTTGTTTCAATAGCTGAAAAATTGGGGGCTCAAGGGGAGGGGAAGTATAAGGAGTGGAGCCAGTATAAGCTGTGTGGCAGATCTAAAAGGGAAGCTTTAGCTGCAAGTCAGTCAAAGGTTTAGAATTCCCAGTGCTATAATGGATGGGGTCCAAATCTTTCTGGTGCTTTGAAGGAGCTAATAGTCTGGGGATGGTGATGCATTATATTGCTGGCATTTCTTCAATGGCTACTCTCCTCCTCCCCCCAAATCCCTTCAGTCCTCTGCAAACCTACATGTAAACAATCTTTGGGCTTAGGTAATCCATTTCTGTTGCTGACCAGCCCCCTTTTCTGATCTCTGTTGCGGATCTCGGGGCTCACGGCGCTGATGAGCATTTTCAGGTTGGCTGTTGGTGTCCAGGGTTCTCCCTGGGAGGTTTCCTTGGGCTTGGTGGGCGTGGTTAAAGGGCCAAAGTCGGGCTGGATCTCTGCCAACACTATACTTGCTGCAGTGGATTCTTTCAGAGGTGTTTTCATCTGTCCCTTTTTATGTGGCTCAAAAAAGAGATTTTCCTGGTTTAAAACAATAATTAAATTCACTGTAAAACAGGATTTATCACAGTGGTTCCCAAACTTATTTGGCCTACCGCCCCCTTTCCAGAAAAAATATTACTCAGTGCCCCCTGGAAATTAATTTTTTTTAAATTTTAATAGCAATTAAACAGAAAGATATATGTATTAATGTTTCTACCTTTTTCGTAAAATATAGTAAAGAAAGTGTAAATTAGAAACATTGAAGTTTGAAATTATGAAACTATTTATTGAACTCAGAATAGAAAGGTAATACAAAAAAAGTTAAAACAAATGCACCTGTGGCCATCACCGCCCCCCTGGATCGCTGCAGCGCCCACCAGGGGGCAGTAGCGCCCACTTTGGGAATCACTGATTTATCAGATAGCTTTTGACTTTAGAAATTATACAATAAATAGAATATTGCTACGGGAAAGAGTGCCAAAGGAGGTTGCAGAGTTGATTAGATTAGTAACGATATTGATACCTGTCCATTCTAAAAACTAAAGCTTCCATTTTTTTAAAATTTTGCAACAAAGCATGGATTTAATTTTTTTCATATCTTGTTCCAAGGATTAAAAAAATTCAAAACCTTCGTATTTTTAACTTTTTATGTTGAAATAATTTTAGCTTTAGAGTTAAGTTGCAAAGATAGCATAGAGAGTTCCTATACCTTTCACTCAGCTTCCCCTAACACAAGTGAAATTGTAATAAATAAAGGTTTCTGTTGCAGAAACAATGTCCCATTCATCTGTGTATCCAGCACAATGGCTGCATGCAGTAGGTGCTCAATAAAACACCACTGATGTAGAAGAGTCAGAGAGCCAAGAAGATGAGGGTGAGGGCTAGCATGTGGTCAGACTTGCTGGTAAAAATCCAGTAGGGAGCAAAATCCAGAGTGCCAAAAAGTAGGATTTCTGACCAGAAAAGGCTGCCTTTGAATATCTACCCCCTCACTTTACTGATGGAGAATAAAATTAGTTACTCAAAGTCACAAAGCTACTCTCTGGCAGTGGGGGAACTGCTACTGAGACATAAGAGGGTAAATTGACAGCAATTCAGAAATAAGACTAATGGAGACCATGTTTCTTCTACTTTTAGACACTGGGGACCTCACACATCCTTCCAATCTATTTTTAAAGAAAATGCTTGGAATGGCAATAAGCGAAAGAATAGAGAGACACACTAATTCCTCAGTGACTTTAGAAACAAAGATTAATGGGACTATTTTGTATGCCTGTGACTCCTTAGGATTTATCAAGTGCTTTTCCGGTTGTATTTTCACCAAATCCTATAGTCCCATTCTGCAGAAGAGGACAGCCAGGCTTAAAGAAGTCACACCCGACATGAACCCTCAATCCAACTATGGCAGTCTTACAGTCTTACATAAAGCCATGTAAGGGATCCAATGGGAAACCCTTCTGAGCATGTGTACAGAGAGGTGCTCACCCAGGAAGGGATTTTTCTAAAGGCTACTGTCCTTAGCCTCAGGCTATCAAAGTAACCGCCAAAACCGCCATTTTCTCAGTTGACTAATATATAAAACTTTTAGGAAATTTGCACATTTCTTTTTTTGTTAACTTAACACCAGTCAAGACACTCCCGCTGACAATTCTTTTGCAATTTTACAAAAAATGTTTTTTTCTCTCAGAGTGTTTGCAGACCCTATAGTTAAAGAAGCTGGTGATGTAGTAAAAAATTATCTTAAAATAATATATAACATATCTTACTTAAATAATATAATAAATAAAATATCTTAGAAGAGGTCCAAACTTAAATCATGTCAAATGACCTTTCTGAATTCCTTTCGTTCAAAAATTCTCAGAAATATCATAATAAACCTAACAAATTTTACTATTCTTAAAAATAACTTTTCTCTCTGCTTATCTTTTTGAAACTTAAGATTATTTTAACTCTGGGCAACTGTCTCCCTCTTCAAAAATTAAATTTCCCTTCCGTATGGATTTTTACAGAAGCCAACTAAAAGAGGATGTAGAATTATTAAGATATTGGATATTAAAAAGTTATGAGTTAAATCAGGATAATTTCTTTAAAACAAAGGATAAATACTGAAGTTAAAAAGGTACCTTTTCGTTCTCCATCCTGTAAATTTCTCATACTTTTAGAGTCTCTTAAAAAATCAAAAATCTGAAGTTCCTCCAAATATCCTGATGGTTCAAGTGGTCCAAACAATTTGATTAAAAAGTTTAATATCCTTAAAGAAAAAAGGAAATAGCAAAATTAGAGAAAAATAAAAGCAGGAGATCCACTGAAAATTCCTTCACGGACACCATAGGCTACTGAAACAAAGACTAACGAAAACTGACAATCTGCATTTACATTTTATTCCAGACCAGAGATAGCCCCCTTGGCCAGGGAACTACATCAAACGCCAGTAAATTCTTCCAGCAAACAGATCCGCTGTAATGGAACTTCAAACCACCCACAGAATTTCCAGTGACAGCCCTCTCTCACCTTTAGAGAAGTCAGGCCGCTCTCGGAAGCCCTCCGAACGGACTGGAGCAAGCTCAGGCACCCACCTAGCCACAGGTCAGGGCTGAGACTCAGCTCGCGAGCCCAGGTTCCGCTGAACTGACACGACCCCAAGAATCTGGTTAAAAGTCTGAATTTCGATGCTAGTATTTCTCCCCTCACACTCTCCCTCTCTCTCTCTCTCTCTCTCTCTCTCTCTCTCTCTCTCTCTCTCTCTCACACACACACACACACACACACACACACACACACACACGCATAGGCTCAGCAGTAAAGTCTTGTAAAAGAGCTTGATAGGCAACTGCCAAATTCAGTTCTTAAGCTCCAAACACACTCTGGGCATTTAAAGAACGCCTTATGATTCAGGTTTTTATAAAGATTTTCCTAAAGATGCAAAGCGCTATGTACTAGCTATTCGGAGGGCCAGTTCGCGCCACGATGTTGAACCCCACCCTGGAGGACTGCCCTTGCTCAGTAAGGTAACCAGGTACAGTCCCGCTGGCGCCACACGCTTCGCACGCAGCGCTCTTTCCCCTCCACCAGGTCAATTGCCCCCTCCCCCCCAGGCCCGGTTCGCGCGCCGCCCGCGGGAAGTTTCCGGACAGCATCCTCGCGGTTTCCAGGGCAACGGTTGCCGACCACTCAGAGGAGCCACCCGCGGGCCTGTGGATTGGTTGGAGGTGCCCAGGGGGCGGGCCCCGGACCTTCCGCCCTCGATTTAAAAAATTTGGCGCGGAAAAGCCGGGACTGTGGGCCGGGCCCCGCCCCTTTAGCAGCGCGGGGGTTAGAGCGGGGGGCAAAACCCGCCCCCCGGGAAACCTCGGGACCCCGGCCCTTCCCCCTTGGGTTCGGCCCCCTTCCCCTTTTGGGGGGGGACCCCAGTTCCTTCCCTCCCGGGGGCCCCCCGGGGGAAGAGAAAAGGGGGAAAAAGGCCGCCGGTTGCCGGGAACCCTTTCCCAGGGGCGCTCTCCCCGTGCCCGGCCGCCGGGCGCTGCTCCCCTCGGCGTCCCGCTGACCTGTCAGTTCACCTCACGGTTGGAGCGGGCGGAATCTGAGCGGGGACTCCTCGGCACCTCTTCCCCACTCAGGCTCCAGAGCCCCGCGAGTCGGGCCGTCAGTCGGTCCTTGTGCCGCGCCGAGGTGGGTTGCCAGAAGGCAACGCCGGAACCGGGACTGGCAGGCCGGCGGGAGAGCAGAGGTAGCGTGACCGTCCAGGAGCAGTCAAGCCCCCGATTTGAAATTAACCCGCTCCCCGCGCGAGCCCATCCCGCGGCAGGGCGGGCCGCTCCCCTCCCCCACGCCCACTCTTCCCGGCCCCGGACATCGCGCGCCAATCCGAGCCTCCAGATCCGAACCGGCCGCGAATCACCGTCCAGGCGCCGCCCTCCGGTCCCGCCTCTACGACGGTGTTGGGGGAAAAGTTCAGCAACTTTTTTTTCCTTTTAATTTGCAAGCACCCCCTCCCCTGACTCAGAGGTGGGGAATGAAGTTTGGCCCTGCAGGGGCCATCGGACGGGGACGCGCGCGCTCTGCGATGCCCTGCCCAGCCCCAGATCCATTCCCCTACCTCCGGACCCCAGGCGGGACCATTCCCCCTGCCATCCCTGGCATGCATTATTGTGCCGTTCGCCATCTGCCCCATGCCCCGAGAAGAAATTGGTGTGTGGAGGGAGAGGCTTGGCCAACGGGGGCCAAACTCGATGGGCGCGGGGTGTTGGCCGAGCCGTGAGAGCTCAGGTGTGTGAAGAGGAGGGTTAGGGTTGAACCCCCGCCAGGCTTGCTGGGCGTCCGCCGTTCCCGCTCCTGGTCTCCCACCCGCTCCTCCCTTTCCCCTCCCCGTCGTCTTCCCTCTTTTCCCTGTTTCCCAGCCTCGGGAAACTTCAACATGAAATATTATATAGTTCCAGATTGATAGTAGGACTGGGAGACGCTGTAGTCCCACACGCTTCGTTTTGCAGACGGGGAAACCGGAGCCCGGCGGCAGCGCGCCTTGCCTGCGCCCTAGTTGTTCTGCTCCTGTTATTTGCCCTAAAACGTTTCCCCTTTTGTGGGGATCTGCGTTGGAGTTCCGGGACCGCTCGTATTGCCCAACCACACCTAGGTCAGGGCGCCCGTCTCTCGGCTGTTCGGTGCGAGGGCTTCCTCCTTTCTTGTAATCTCCTGTGTCAACTACAGCAAGTCCTGGGCTACGATTCCCCGGTCCCATCTCCTACTTTGTGTCTATGAATCACCCGGTGCTGACTTGCGGCGCGGGACATTTTTACATTCCCGGATGCGATATAAGGGCCTGGATACTGTGATACTGAGGCTGCGGTCACCGTGCTACAGCGACCGGCCGCAGGCCCAGAGGTCGGGTGACAAGCAGTGGCTCTTCCCCCAGCAGAACTCGACCTCAGTGCGCAGGGTGATCGCCCGTTAGGTGCCTCTGTCCTCCCTTCGCTGCCAGCCTGGCACGGGCCATCCTGGCTCCTGGCAAGTGTTGTTGCTCAAGAAAGCGTTGGACCTGAAAGCCAGCTCTTGGGATGCCTACAGCTCCGGATTTAAAATAAAGCGAGGGTCACAGCACCGAGCGGCGCTCTTCCTGAGTCCCGTACACCTTTTCCGGAGCAAGGTGCAGGTATAAACGCATCAGCCAAAGTGGGCAGTTGGTGCTTCTGCTTTAGCCACTATATGTTTCACAAATTGTGCTGCCCCTCCTCCCTCCTGGTACCCATAGGAGTGCTCCCGTTCAGCTTTGCCCCGCTCCCTTAAGTTTTTACGGCCCAGGAGTCCTCTATAAAGGGACTCTTTTCAGAAGCAGCCGATCTGTTCAGAGGCGGTGACTAATGCGCTCACACCTGTGGTCTACAGGGCCTTTCGTACCCCAGGTGTCTGAGTGCCAAATACTTGTAGGGCAGATGGTGCAAGGAGCAGCCACCTCTGGTGACGCTGCACGGAGGGCATCTCATTTAATTCTCAGCACAGGCGTTAACCATGGGTTAGGATCCAGAAAGAGAAGCAGCACATTCTTAAGTAACAAACGCAAGGACTAAGGGTTAAGTGACAGCACTGGGATTTGAAGCCAAATGTTTGTTCCCGAGTGTTTTTTACCGAGAGTCATGTTCTTCACTGTGTTGATCTTTACTTCCTTTGCAGGATAGTTGTACTCATTTTATAGAGAAGAAAACAGGCACAAAAAGATTTCAGCGATGGCCAAGTCAGCTATAGAATCAGAACCATTATAATACAGGTCACCTGCTCCCAGTTCATATATCCCATTTCACAACCTCTGAAAGTTCCAATAAAAGCAGTCTTGGTGACATCTTAGACCAGCCCTCAACCATCTAACCCAGCGGTTCTCAACCTGTGGGCCACAACCCCTTTGGGGTCGCGTAAGACCACCGGAAAACACATATATAATTACTTATTGTTTTTGTGATTAATCACTATGCATTAATTATGTTCAATTTGTAACAATGAAATTGGGGGTCACCACAACATGAGAAACTGTATTAAAGGGTCGCGGCATTAGGAAGATTGAGAACCACTGATGACCCTTCCTCCAACATAACAAAATATAGAAGAACAGATACGTACATTTTATTTTAATGACAATTGTCGTGTCTTATTGAAGCATGTGAAATTATAACCCAACTCACTGACTATGATGAAAAGTGGCTCTATTAAGAGTGCAATGATTTAGTTTTGAAATCTTAACCCTTTCAGATAAAGGTAATGAAAAAAGCAAGCCAGCTGAAACAATTCCACTCAACACTATACAGTGTGTTGATTTGAGATTCAGCATGAGTGTAAGAGAAAGGTATAAATCTATTGAAAACTTTTAGGTTTACTGCCCAGCCAAGAGAGAAGCAGCCGATCTATTCAGAGAGGACAGGTTGAAATCTGTTTTCTTATTTCCCCATCAGATGTGTTTTCCAGTTATTAGTTACATAATCCATGGGGATATTCATGCATTTGTTACTGGTCTTTTGTTCATTATGCTGTGTCATGTGTGTCACTGAAGTTAGACCAGTTTTTCAACTGTACCGCCATACTTGCAGCTTGTAGAACTTGGAGGGCTGAGATGTTATGTAACACGTTCAGCACTAAACAATGAAAAAAGATATCAGAGGTAAAGGGGGGGATGGGCATCATCTGAGGTGTCTAGATTCGAAGGTACCTTTCAGGATTTTGAAATCATGCCCATTTTCATCATCACCAGAGCCTCACACACCGTGTGTGAAAAGATCAGGCCCCTCTCCCACTGACAGGGTGGCTGAGGGGCTAAGGAAGGAGTTGCTCTAGCTCATGGGCTCCTAACCTTTCCTTCTTGCCCTCTTGCCACCGCCACCTCCCCCTCCCCAACCCCCAGTGATTCCATCACCAGTTCCATTTCCTGACCCAGTAGGGCAATGCGGGGTTGTGCTGTTTCTGTAGTACATGTAGGTACAGTCACCATAAAACAGCTGTCTAGAGCTTTAAATTTCACAAATCCTTGTGTGCTGGGTTAGATCACAGGTGCTCACGACTGTATCTCAGCCCTCCCTAGTCCTTTTGCCTAGTTGGTTATTCTGCTCAAAAATTAATTGTGTTGGGTCCAATCTGGGCAGAGTTTAAAGAGGGTTGATATGACGGGATGCAGGAGATGGGAGGGCCTGGGAGCTGGCTTCTGCTGACTGTGGAGCTGACTTGATCAGAGCCTGCCGATGGCTACAGCAGGGCTGTATGTCAAGTCCCCTCCAACTCTCCTGTGACTTCCCATGGGGAACTCCACTCAACTGATGAGCCCTGGATGGTTATTTGCAGCCCTGGATTCAGTGACAGCAGTAACAGTTGCTGCCATTTATTGAGTAATTACTGTATCTAAATGTTGAAGATTCTTTGGAGATAATAGAACACAAAATACTGAGGACCCTTTTGTAGAATTGGAGCCTGAATTCTGTCCTCATTGTCTTACTGCAGCATCTGATTTTAAAATTGTCATAGAGCTGAGGATCATGTAGGCACTTATCAGTAGATTGGAAGAACCAATTTTTCAGGGTTCCAGAATAATAAAAAACTATACACACAGGGAGTGGGGGCGGGGACTTATTACATGAAAAAGTCCCAGTCAATGCTGGAATCTCATAACCTCCCTGATCAGTGATTGCTATCTTTTGGTTGCAATCCTTTGAAGCATAACTGTGCTGACCCTCTTCAGGCAGATCCCCAGGTCCTGTCCTGTAACCCTGTATGTACATCTCTGTTACAGACGCCTCTCCTGCACCACTGTGCGCTCCTGGAGGGCAGGGAGAGGAACTTCTTTATTTCTCTTACTCCCCACCCCACCCCAGTGTTTAACTGGGTGTCTGGCCCAGACCAGGAGCTTGATAAATGTTACTTGATGGAATAAGGTTCTAGTCTTGAGTGCCATATCACCAAGCCCAGAAGATACCTTGTCTTTTTAATTTAATTTAATTAATTAATTTAAAATAAATCTATTGTTGAAAGTATTACATATGTCCCCTTTTCCCCTTCAATGACCCCCTTCAGCCTGCCCCCATCCCCCCCTCCTCCCTGCCCCAGGCCTTCAGCACGCCATTGTCTGTGTCCATGGGTGATGCATATACCTTGTCTTTTAACCTCTATCTTCAGGATCAAGTTCAATGTCTGGCCCAGACTTGGTACTCTGTAGTGTCAGAAAAAATGATCTCATAATTAACAACCCTATTTGTTTTTTTTTTTTACCTTAGCTAAGTACTGTTTCCAACTCCCTTTTAGTCATGACTGTTTTTTCTGTTCATTCACTATAACATAGTACCCTGAATGCCTCCTATGTCCCCAAGCACTAATTTGAATTAGATGCTTAGTATATACAGGTGAGCGGAAGAGACAAAGTCTTTGCCCTTTTGGAATTTACAGTCAAGCAGTGTCTGGTACAAAGTGTTGCTTGCTATTATTATTACTGTTATCTTACTTTTTCCCTGTAAATGTGAGACTTCTTTACCACTCAATTTAGCAAAAATCTTTTTTTAAAAAAATTTTATGTATTTTTCTTCCCTAGAAATTTTTTTTCCTTTAGCCCAGGTGTATGGGTCACTTGCTCTGAGCCTAGGGTATGTGCTGGGCACCAGCTACAGGACATGGGGGCATTCCTTGGATCACTTACCACCTCTCTCTTTCTCCCTCTCTCTCTCTCTGTTCCAGAGACATGGACTTCATTTGGACAAGTTGTCTACTTTTCTGCGTCTTTCAAACTGCTGCTTCAGAGTCACTGGGG